TTGTCAGATCACGAATTAAAAAAAAATTGCAGGTTCCTGAATTTTTAAAATATGCTCAAATTACACATGATCACTAATTTAACAACCTGTTCGTGAATTCAAAAAACTACACAAATTCATAAAATCTTGGTGAATTTTGAAAAGATTCATGGATTTAAAAAATGTTTACTTCTTTTCAGAATTCATACATTGTGAAACTGCATTTGTGTTTAAATGGTGTTTTGGTGTAATGACAACGTGGTTGGTGGGACTAATGGCGATTACTAAGTTTATCTCAGTTCATTGGTCCATCAAAAGTTATTTTAAGAAGATGGTTGAGGCCCCACTTCTAAAAGGAAAAAAAGTGTGATTTTCCGACGACTCGAAGTTCTGTTTTGGTTTCCTTGAGTCATAGAACACCCACACTATTAAGAGGGATCGACATGCTTAGATGCAAAGCATGGGAACATGGAAAAATATACACCTTACACCAGCCTTCCCATTTTTATCTACCAAAATATTGCGCAAGTCCATCTCGAATGTGTCCTAAGACAGTATGCCCTATGCACACAAGCCTCCAGCCCCGTGTACATGGGGTTGGGTCTGAAACTCCCTGGACATCCCATGCATGGACATGTACTATGCACACGGGGACCAGTTGTTTCATCTCTGTACACCCGTGCATACGAGGGCTTTAGCTCGTGCGCACGGGGTCTCCTGGCTGGCAACGATTACAATTAGGGCGAGCTATCTAAATCCTCCTTCTCCTACCGCCCACCTTAACGGCAAAATTGATAATTTTAACTTGTGGATGAAATCATTTCACAAAATGAACTGCTTCTAAAGAAATTTCATTCGTCTGACCTTTTTGAGTGGCACCCAACACGAAGGCGCCACACTACACTGTGCAGTGCCTGACTGACAGGCGCTGCACGCCTAGCCAGCGTTGCACCCGGGCGATCTGAAAAATTACTAAGTCAGTGTGCAAGCCTGAGAGCTAGGTGCCACACTATACAGTGTAGCGCCTAGCTCCTAGGCGTTGCACTAGTATAGTGTGGCACCAAGCTCTTAGACGCTGCACATTGACTTAGTATTTTTTAGGCAGTTCGGGGTGCGACGTTGACCAGGCGTGTAGCGCCTGTCAGTCAAGCGTTGCACAGTATAGTGTGGCGTCTTTGTGTCGGGCGCCACTCAAAAAGGTCGGCTGAGTGAAATTCTTTTAGGGACAGTTCATTTTGTGAAATGATTTTATTCAGAGGTCAAATTTGTCAAATTTGCCCACCTTAACCCTAATGTTTAGAGAAGCTATACCATTTCCAAACCTTCCAACGCTTCAATATTATCAATCCCTCCACCAAATTGTTGATACTTTGAGAATTGAGAGTGAGTAAGACCCGATCTACACTTTCACCAAACCAATTCGTGTTCCCTGCTTGATTTCCTCATCAACACTTGTTACTTTTGGAGATTGAGCTCCTACACGGTAGGAGTCAAGTCCCAGAAGCTTCCTTGCTTGTGCTGTGATTTGGAGATCGAGTTTGTAAAGGTGTGATGGT